TTTCTGTAATGTTTTTCATTTTTTGTAAGATGAGTAACCACAGATATTCAACTCCTACTATTATTATTATTTTACTTTTCTTGCATTATACCTTTGTGACACTTTTTTGAGTTCTCTTAACTTGTCATGGTTTGTTCTGTTTCCTTAGAAAAATTAGTGAAAATGTGACAGGGACTGGAAACGTTAGTGGGGTTCAGACTTATATCTGATTTTTCTTATAGTCAGTGTCCTCTGTTTTAAAATCTGTCTGCAGTGTGCCTTAACGGGTAATTGCTTTGGCCCATTTCAACACATCTCCCAGTGCTGAGCGGCCTGTTTACCTCATAGAACATGTAGAAGGACAAGAGCGTGAGGCCCAGATTGTAGAGCACCAGGAGGCCTCTGCAGGAGTATGGCTGCCTGTGTTTCATGTACTTGGGCCCCATCCATACGATCAGGAGGTACATGACTGTGAGTGCAAACGTCGGTGGGTAGTTGTCGAGCAGCAGCCATCCCCTCACCCGCTGATCTGAAATATGGAGATAAAGCGATGAAGGGGACGGCTGATAAAGTGGCATGATGACAGGTGAACTTGAATTGAACGGTGCACACTGAGGAATGTTGCTCAACATCGAGAAAGATTAGCAGTTGAAAAAAGCAAACATAATGTTCCTCCTTGCAGTAAGCTATGAACTGGGTCAAAACTTTTAGGTAATGATGACTCTCACTGCTACCCTCACTTTTCTGTGAACTGAAGAGCTAAGATTTTGACATTATTTGCAATCTGCGAATCAAACAAGAAGCGATGCATTTTGTATCATCTTACCTCTGGGACCCATCCATGACTCTAAATAAGTGTTCAGCTTATGATTGAAGGTCTCCATTGGTCACCTAAGAACAGAATGCAGAAGGAAAGCTGAGACATCACCTAAAGTTGATATCACAACACCTAATGGTGACCTAATGATTATAAGCCCAATATTCAGTCTCCTTGTAGCTCTGTTTTGGTCTCCACCAACTCCTGAAAATGGCAGAGCAGCTGGTAACAATGCTATGACAGCAACTGAAGCTTCAGGGATTAAAACAAACTGTTTGAGATGAAAGATGTGAAAACAGCCCATAGAGCAGAGTCAGACTATACCTTTCTGTGAGTGCTTCCCTCCAAGTAAAAATATTGCTGATATTTTGATGATATTAGTTCTTGCTGCACAATATATCTTTTCAGGATGGATGCTGTGATGTCACATTGCAGTTGTGTTACAACTTTTTTTGCTGCTTGATTCAAGAAAACAATTCTCGCAAAGAGTGCTTCACATGCACGCTGCAGAATAAGCGAATGACAGGAGAAAAACCCTGGAAAAGAGAATGTGGTTGCAAAAACTAAATGCAATGTCAGCTGTATTGAAATATTTTGGCAACAGAAGGGATGACCGAAAACTTTCTAGACAGTGTTTTGCAATTGTTGCCACGAAACGAGTCAATACAGTCAATTTGTTTAGCCATTCAGCACGACAGTGCTCTGTATGACAAGTGCAAAGCCAGATGTGAATGCCATCCATAGCAAAAAAAAAATTAAAAATACTGTGGATGACTTTGCCAGTGTTACACCACATAAGAAATATTCTACTGGCTTTTTATTCTTTTTTCCCTGTATTTCCTCTACAGATGCACTCTGCAATATCATTCTACAATGACTGGGTTATTTCTAAATACAGTATTTCAATTCATCTGGTAAAAATTTGTTTAGTGTTTCATTTCACATTAGATATGATAGATAGATAGATAGATAGATAGATAGATAGATAGATAGATAGATAGATAGATAGATAGATAGATAGATAGATAGATAGATAGATAGAAAAAAAGGCTTGATTAGTGATCATAAAGACAGTCTCTCAGAAAATATGATTAGAGTAGTCATTTTTGATAGGTCTATCATCATCATCATCATCACATAAGACAGCAGCAGACTGAATCACCTCTTTATACAACTACTGATGCGAGCCAGTCATTCATCTGATGTTCATTTAGTGATGCTGTCTTTCCAAATCTGCACTTGATAACTGTGTTACTGTTTGTGCTTCGGTCTGTCCATCCTCCCTCTCTCTCTCTCTTTAAACGCCGACAACTGATTCTTCACACCACTCTAGTTTCCATCAACAGATCTAATGTGACCAATTCTCACTCTGGGATGCATTTCAAGAAGCCAGCAGGCAGGTGCGCTCAGAGGACAATCACAGCTCTATTCAATTACTATTGGTTCTCCAGCTTTCAGATTGTTCAAGGTAATGGGGATGTCGATATGTGTACATTTATTAACCTTAATGTGCTTCAGGAATTATAATCCCACAATACTGTCCGGCGGCCCGATCAGTGCGGCGACATTAATTTCTGAAACCTTTGTGCATGGGCTCCTGCCAAAGCTGTCATACTGTGGCGGTGGTGCATCTGTCGAGCCCTCTGTCACTGTTTATTGGAGTATCCAGCGCTGATTTAAACAGCTGTCTGTAGAACTGTCAAGGAAAAGTTTGCTGCTCCTGTGTATTTCTCCCCAGGGTTAGCCAGTTTTTTCCATGAACAGCATACATAATACGCACAGAGTAATGCTGGGCTTCCCTGCTATACTTGAAGCAGTCAGATCAGCCCAGTGACATAAAGCAGAAGCCCATTTACTGGGAGGTATGGATGTCTGGATGCTCACAGCTGGACATGTTTCCATATAAGTTAAATAAGTTATTATTTCCTGGTTCTGCTCCCTATAGGGTTGCTTCAATCTGCAGAAAGGATACTGACTAAAAATCCTTTAAATCACATTTTGTAGTAGCACTGATTCTGATTTACCACATAAAGCTTTGGAATTCTTATAAGCTGACAAAGTTAATGTCACTGCTGAACACTGAGCTGCACAAATCCCTGCAGCTGATTTTCTTACTCGAAACCTGATAACTCTCAGCAAAATACACTTAATCATTATCACCCCAGAGGTATTTACACAGTCCTGCAGGCCTTTATATTGTTGGCTGTATCACTTCAGGCTTGGGAAAAGAAAAAGCCTCCTCGCAGCCCCAGAAATCGCAGTATATCTGCGCTCTTTATTTCCGCTGATGTGCTTCCCAGCTATACATTCAATTCAGTTCAGTTACGTCACAGATTGCTGCACCACTGGACCGTCTCCACACCTGCGTCTGCAGCTGGAAACACGGTATCAGGAGACACAACATGTACTCTGTGCCATCCATTAGGCCTGTTGTTTTCTTATTCAGGCTGTGAGCTCTTTCTTTTTTCTGGGCTACAGAAAGGTTACAGGCTTTTGGCTCGAATCACATTTGTAAGTCGTGTGCCCAAGGTGAAAGTAAAACACAGGTTTAGGTGTTTGCAGAATAACCTTGGACTTTACAGGCAGAAATGTGAGCAGATCTATCAAATTTAACGAAAGCATCTCAATTCAATCTGCGTGCTGCTCTTAGATACAGTCATTTGATATTGGAATATGAACTGAGGGGGCACATCAGCGACTTTGTTTACATGCTTCAATACATCCCTTAAATCCTGTAAATAGAAATGTCTGTGTGATAGTTAAATTCTGCAAATTGAACTGCTCTTCATGCACCATCAAGCACTTTAATAATTGTTGCGTTTGTCCATAATAATCACTTATCTGCATGGACTAAATATGGCTTATTCTGATCAGCCCCAGTTCAGTGACATCCTTGCTCTGATTATCAGAGATGCATTAGGCTGCACCAAAACATGATAATCTGCGAGGCCTTAATCGGAGCACGATGAGCCACAACAGGAGAGCACGTTAGCGGCCGCTCACTGAGTCTTTGCAAGGTACATGCTGCAGCCATGCAAAACGAAGAAGGGGGGGCAGGATCTTCTCAAAGAGCCAATGCAGCGTGTGGACTTTGGTCGGAAATACTGATTGGTTTCATCACTGCAGCTGATAGTGATTCATTCAAACAGGAGAATTCACTGTAGGGTTGGGAAATAAGACGATGAATACTGCGTTTGTCAGAGATTCTGCAATACAGTTTATACACCAGTACATATCCTTTTAAAATGACTGCACCATTGTGGGCAGTATTTTGAGGGATTTTTGCATCTGTGTGATGATTTACGTGTATTTGTCAGGTAATATATTAGATTTAAACAGACAATCCTGTCACTAGCTGTCATGTTTATCAGTGACAGCAGAAAAAAGATAAAAAGAACTTAACTAAAAATGAAAACTAGGATTATAATCTAGCTCTACAGTCATATATAATAACAGTTCCTGGTCATATTAGTCGACGCAAGCTTAGTTTATATGAGTGTGAGTTGTTGGCAATGCAATCTGCTTCACTTTCTGCATTGAGAACAATAGATCTATATACACAAGTAAGCACTACAGAGGCATTGGCAAGAGCTGCAATATACAATTTCTGGTTAAATATGCTCTCCAGATGTTTCCAAAAAGTAGTATTTTTTTGTAAATATTATCATTCAGATGTGCACAATAACTGCAAAAGTTCCCCCAGCAAGAACACCTATAACTTTGTCCCAACACAGACTTGTATCAGTTGCAAACAGAGTACAGTGAGCAGATATAAATGTGCTGCAGCACCAGACTGGCTACTTTACAGGAATATTTCAGTCCTAATGGGATGATCATGCAGTTGCAAATGCATGACAAATCCATTCGAATATTTGCACCAACTCTCCCGCTTTTTTTTTCCTCCTTTTTTTTGCACCACAGTATTGTATAACAGCAGTTTTGCATCAGGGTCACACGTGTAATCTAAACTGCACTTTACGCACTGTGCTGAAAGACCAACTAAAAGGATGCTCTGATCCAATGCCGGCGGTCATAGTTACATTCACACATTAATATGAATCATCTCAAACTTCCAGAGAGCAATGAATGAACATGTTAAACAACAACAAAAAAAACTTATCGCATCCAGTCGATCGCAGCCTCAGCAGAGGTCACACCGCTTCAGCATCACCCAAACTCATCATCGCTCGCGTTCTGTTAGACGCCATGCGCGCTGCAACGTTTTCACCACCGCGGAGAGCCTCACCATAAAGTCCTGCAGCCGGCACGTCGGGAGCTTTCGGAGGAAAATGTGGAGTGCGGATGAAGAGATGCAGCTGTGGTGCCGAGGACTGCCTACCTTTTTTTTTTTTTTTTTTTTTTTTTGAGGCGGGGAGAAAAAAAAAAACGACTGTGTAACCTTGGCTGGCTGGCCGGTCTGAGCACAATGTGCAGCCTTGTCGCTCAGTGGAAAATAGTGGGAGGAACACGCAGACTGGCCCGCTGCCCTGCAGGAGGGTTACAGCCAGGAGGTGACCCCGCGTGTTGCAACGGCACACACAGTCAGAAAGATGACATAAGGCTTCCTGTGTGCTCCTGTAAATGCAGCTATGGCTCCTGACACGAGGCAACCATGTGGAGCGCGCATGAGTCAAGCAGCCACAACTTTCATCATCAACTTTTTAAAAATTTATTTATTTTTTCACCTACAAAAAAGTCATAAAATTCAGTAGTAGTAAAAAAAAATAAAAAATGCACATGCAAATGAAGTGGACAAAAATAGATGCACTTTTAAATGTAACCATGAAGCACTTTTATACTAGATGTATATGAAGAGTTCATTTGCAAAAACAGATAACTCAATTTTTGTAGATTTTCAGAAAACTTTTTTTTTGTTTACTTGAGATAATATCAATCAAACTGAAGTTGAATAGATTTGACTCAGTAGAAATCACGTGACAAAAATAGAGATAACTTAAGATTATTGATCTCAGGTACACGATGGAAAAGTGGGTTTTCTGAGGATTTGTGAAGATGGAGTTATCTGTCATTGAAAATGAACTCTTCACATATAGAAATTTTATTTATTTATTTATTTTAACTTTATTGCCAGCCATCAATAACAGGCAATAAATATAATAAGAAAAAAAATAAAACAAAAACAACAACCTTGAGAATAGACCTTGTGGTTGCAGAGATAAACTGTTTTTAATATGTAATTTTTGAGCAGAGGCCTTTAAAATAGCTCAGGGCTTAAAGGGTTAAAAACTCTGGCAGCAAGTGTTGGAGGAACTGTGGCGTGGTTGGTGACCATACACACATATTCTGGGATTGCCCAAAAATACAGACATTTTGGGAAAACATCAAAGAAGAGCTGAAACCTTTAGAAGAGGATCTACCCTTGGAACCTCTGTTTTTTTGTGTGCGTGTGCATGTGTGTGTATATGTGTGTATGCATATTTAAATATCGAGGTTCGTGACGTCCTACAGAGCCGAATTTCAACTGTCCAGTCAAACTCTTTCCAAAGCTGACTTCCAGTCCCTCTGTGACATGCTGTGCACATTATACGATATACTTGTTACATTAATATCTCTAATGCCTGTTGTCTTTTAATTATGGTCAAAGTGGAGCAAATTTGAAACATACACATGCAGTTTAATCTGTAGTGCACCATAAGTTATCATCATATGCTTTGTATATAAATCTTAATCTAATTATAAGTCTAAATGTAGCTGTATGTGTTTAAGTGTGCACCACTTTCTCATGAAGAAGCTTATGAGCTGCAATTCAAGTATTTGTTTATGGATGACACATCATTTACTGATGATTTATCACTTGTAAGTCAATGTGGCAACTTTTGGGTTGCCAGATTGTGGAAAATCCTCCTCTTGTATGACCGTTTTTTAATTTTTATTTAATGTGTTTATTATTTAATATTGTAAGGAGTCCCCTTAATAATTAAGTATCCCCTCTAATGTTGCAATATTTCTGTATCAAGGATAATGTTTCACTTGTTCCAGTATCATGTGTGATATTACTTTACGAACTTGCTGGTATTACTTATTGCTTTTTTTTTTTTTTAAGTCTTAAACTCTTGTCATGTATCACACTTGGATCTTATAGCTTTTCCACCAGCCACTGCATTTCTCATGCCTGACTGAACTGACTGCCTGAAAAAAATAAACTATTTGCTCAAATACAGTGTTTCAATAGTATGACAGCTGTGTTTTTTGATTTCGCAGTAATGAGTGCTGGCAAACCATGAAGGTTTTGCACTTTCTAAAAAAAAGGTCACAGTAAAAGGCAGGCAAACATTATTAAAGGGTCTTGGGATGCTTGATTTCTATGTTCATTCGTGGTACCCACATGATCCAGTGAGTTTTTCCCCAGAACTATCTTCCGGTTGAATCTTCTGCTCGCCCCATACTTTGGTTTAAACAAAAAATGATTGACCTGCGTCAGCTGCATGTTTAACCCCACAGTTTACCTACAGCCTCCCTGAGCCGCTCACATGACTGTTTTTATATAGCAGAACCCACTCAATGCATTTTTAATGGAAAGTACTCACTCTCTGAGTTTACAGTGATGACTACAGGGGCTCAGAATAATAAAAAGACATGTTTATGGCAGCAGCTCTACCACATCCCTTTCTTTTAAAAGTGACCATGGATTATTTACGTAGCATTACGCTTCAGGACAATCACATAAAATATCAGAAGCGTGCATCTTTGGCTAAAACATAATGCCATATTCATTTTTCAGTGTTGAAAGCAGCTGTGGGCAAAGTAAACCTGAGGTGAGCAGTGATTAAGAACACAGAGTTCACAGAGATACTGGTTCGGTATTATGTCAGGTCAAGTTTGTCAGATAGTGGCTGTACTCTGTTAGACTGAGTCTGGCTCTAATTCTTGGTACACTGGCAATATTAATAATCTCTAGTTTACAAAACTGTTTATTTTGTGTAATGATTTTCTAACTTCATGGGTCACAGGCTTGGCTGGATGACTGTCCATGGTACAATACAATTCAATGTTTAACTGTCCAGATTAAAAAAAAATAAAATTACAAAATTACAAAATCAACCATCTACAGCTTTAAACAATGACAAATACTCTGTCTCTCGCTCTCTCTACCCTGTTCACACAACACAGACACATTCACAACAATCATTTAGTCCCTAATGTGGCCATCGAGCAGCTTCATCGGGGACGTTAAAGGAACATCAGTGGTTCTTATGAGCTCAGACTGTCATCCGCTGCCCAAAGTGCTTCAGGTCTCACAGACAAATCAGATCTCAAGGTCTCATTTTGGTGATTTAAAATATTGTTCACTATTTTTTTTTTTGCCATTTGAGGGCAACAAATACAAGTCATAAACGGAACAGTGCCATACCTAGCTGATATTTTAAACATGTTAATAAACAGCAACATTAGCACTCACTGGTGGTCATGTTTCTCTCTAGCCACTGACTGTAAGTGCTATATGAACCCTCCTTTTAACTCTGTTTTGGTCTCCATAGACTCCTGAGGGAAACATCTAAGTCTCCATCCATCCACCAAGCTTCTTCCACTTGTCTGTGTTCGTGTGGCGGTGGCAGCAGGCTAAGCTGATCATCCCAGATCTGCCCAACAACTTTTCTATCAGATCCTGGGGTATCCCGAGGCGTTCCCAGGCCAGATGAGATATGTAATCCGTCCAGCGAGATCTGGGTCTCCTCTTCTGAGCTGGGTGTGCCTGGAAAACCTCCAAAAGAAGAAACCCAGGAGGCATCATAATCAGAACCACCTCTAATAGCAGGTAAATTCCCCAATATGTTCACTAACTCCTGGCTAACTTCATCTAGTTGATGTTTGCAGCTGAGCAGGTAGGATATAGAGGAAGATTTTTTTTTGTAAATAGCTGCCCCCTTCTGGTAGAAACAGTTTACTAGTGCAGAAATATTCAGAAAATTCAGAAATTCAGCAGAGTGAGGTCATAATTTACTGTTTCTTTGCAAACCATTTCACCTGTAAGCATATAAGTGATGCATCAATAATGTAAAAATAAATATCAATTTGTGCAGCTTGAAGTATAGTGGTTAGTCTTGTTTTGTGATTGCAATCACAGGCTTATGTAAATTATGATTAAGTAGTGTTAACAGGATGCAACTCAAACAAACAAATAGCCTATCAATATTGACTTTAAGCTAGACTTATGACCCAGTTCACAGCTGCAGGAAAGGTTTCAGGTGAGGCTGTGGGCGGAGCATCACCACAAATGGCCTCTAGGTATTGTCTCCAATAGAAACAACATTCAAAATGCATTTTTTTTGCCATCATTTTTTCATCATAATCATGGTCTCTTGTAATCTCATCTCTACTAATGAACACGTTAGCAGTGACTTTAAATAATCACCAATCAACAGATTATAGGATTAAGAAGACCTGTCACTGGTTGCTCCTCTTTATACCAGCATGACTGACAAAAAATGTTTTCTCTTTGTGTGCAGAGTGTGCAACTCACATTTGGGCATCATTGTTATGCACTCTTAATTTAAAAGTTTGAACGCCAACTATTCATTCCAATTATGTTTTAATGAGAACAGTGAGTCCCAGGGGTCTGTTTGGGCTTTAATTTATTTTGCAGCATAGGTAGGCCTGTGCCAGCCACAATCATTATCCTTCACCAAGAGGTCAAACCGAGGTAAAGCTCTCATCTGTCACTGTAGCTCACTCGCATGTAAAACTGTGGTTCAATACCACCATCTTGTGGGTGGACACCTCTATGGATTAGCTGTTGGATGTTTTCAATATGAAAGATAAAAGAAGTTTGTTGAATATTGTTGTAATAATTTATGAAATGTTTATATTAAAGACTTTTTATTTTCATCCCTCTACTTAAGTACCAGAAATTGGATTTTTTAACACCAAGCCAAGAAATTTCCATGACGATAATCACATTATATGTCTGACTTTGCCACCATCATCATGTCAACATTTTAATTAGTCCATTGCTTCCATTTATTACCAAAATATGTTTAGACATCCTCAGCTCTGGTTTTGTTTAGTGCAAATTAGCAAATCTTAGCATGCTAATATGCTAAGCTAGTGAACATGCTAAACACTGTACTTCAGCATGTTAGCATGAAGTACTGCCTCACAGAGCTGCGAGTATTAGTTAGAGAATCTGAGGGATTTCACCAGATTGTTTTTTCTTTTTGCGGTGTCTTTCTTTGGTTTAGGAGCTGTTAATTAGATAACAGAAGGGTGACGGTGCGATATGTTTGGGAAACCAATGGCTTGTTCCAAAAAGTGCACGAAGAAAATACCTGATTTGAATGAGCCTAAAACATCAGTCAAGTCCAAAGGTGGTTCAACAAAGGTGAGTTCAAACTCACATCATCAGGCTAAACAGGCTCAACTTGAATTTTTTTTTTCTTCTTTACTGATATTGTGGGAATGTGTTACATAAGCTCTCAATTTTCTTGCATAACTTGCCAGAGGGTTAACAACATGTAAGCTTGAGCTATGATGCATTAGCTTTATGGAACCAAAACATGCTAAAAAATAAGTCAGACTAACTGAAATAAGCCTGACTTATTTAGTAAACTTGCTGTACAGAACAGGCCTCACTTCATACAGCCTCCTTGTTAAATCCTGACTTTTTACCTCTCAGGCAGAGGTAAATAAAGGTGAAGCTACACAAAAGGTGTATAACAACACAAGTTATAGTTGTAAGAAAACTGACTAACTTACTGTTGTACAGATTTATTTTGAAACAGCATCACATTGCAATCAATGGTTCACCACTTCCGCTTGAATGCAACACTACTTTAAAAGGTCCCACTACAATGTCAGCAGAGCAAAGCAAACATTTCTCTTAAAAGCGAAATAAAGGATCTCAAACAAACAAGTAGAAAGCTCATAACCAGCAAATAAAACGATAAGAAAAGAAGAAAGGTTGTTAATGTTTTGAAAAGCAGAAGTACAGTATTTACAGAACACAAGATTAAAAGCAGACTAATGTACACCTCTTTGCTACATTTACATTCTCACACAGATATGCTTAATTTCCAGACAAAAATAAATACACATCTGATTCTCTATTACACAACTCTTTGCATGTCTTAATCCTATTAAAATAATTGTGTAATCATAAAAATCTCATACAGTATATATACATATATTTGATGCAGGTGTGTTTCTTTACAACTCACACATGCTGTTTTGCATTCTCTTACAATTGGACCTCTTCGTTCTACACCACATTTGGTCTTTCTTTACATGCGTGTTTGCGTAATGATAATGCATTTCTACAGCGTTTTCTCATTTGAACTTGTTTACTGGGTTTCCGATGAGCTCGGGGCACTGCTCTTCACCTTTTGCAATCCTGTCGCACTTTCTGAAAAAGTCGTAGTTGATCTTGTCAGTTAGGACGCTGTCCTGCTTGTACTGCGGATGCTTTGCAACAAACTCCCTCATCCACTTGGCCATGGTCATCAGTTCGCCTGTTTCAGATCGGCAAGCAGAGGAATTAATGGTTAGAAATAAGGAGAAAAATCTGTATTTGGCTTCTGAGAACATTCAGTTTTGTCCTTTGATGGTAGTTTACCTGAGGCACGTTTCTTGATGAGCTTCAGATAATTCAAAATGGTGCACCTGGTGTCCACATCAACTTCCATGTTTTCCAGATAGCAGTTCAGGATTGGGATGAGGCCTTGAAAAACTCCCTCCTGGTGATAAGAAGGAACAGAGAGAAAAACAGCAGTAATTATCAAATGGCTTAAAAACAAGACAAGTCTCCAGCTGTGCCAGCAGCTCTGCACTCAAGAGGCTCTCCATTATTAAGGCATTCAAGCCTCATTGGCAGAATGACAGAAGGAAAACCAGAAATGAATTACCTGGAACAATTCAAGTTAGTTCTAAGTCAGTTAGTGTTTGTTTATACTACTGTTAACATTTTACTAAGATGCAATTGACTGACGTATGCAGCCATTTTGCTCACAGCTTATTCATAATTGTGCAGCTCTTTTCACGTAGTAGAAAGTCAGAAGTTCCTGATATCTCCAGCTCAGATGATGGTTACCAAACACGGTTTAAACACCACAATGTGAACGCAGCACAACACGTACCCAATGAAACATGCAGATGCTTAACAGGCACGGTTTTTACCATGTTAATGTTCGTTAATTAGCACCGAACACAAAGTACAGCGGAGTCTACATGAAAAGTCAGGGGATCACCATTGTTACTGCAATTAACCCTGACGGGAACATGAACACCTGGACCACATGTTATAGCAGTCCACCCTACTAGCTTAAGCTAGTTCACTTAAAACTACGAGTGTCACCTGATTCATCCTCTGAGAATCATGAATGTGCAAAATTTTAGGTCATTTCATCCAAGAAGAAAATTTCATCTGGACCAAAGTGGTGGACGTATCAATGAACTGACCGCTTGGCTAAAAGGTCATTCTGATCTAAGGCAGTGATCACCTTTCCATTGATGATAGTGTCGATGCTCATCAGTGTGTACTCCTCATTGCCACAGTCGGTCTCCAAACCATTCTGAGCAGAAGCAGTGCCATCAAGGCCTGGGTTGCAGCCTGTTGGTGAACAAAACAAATGTATCTCAAACTTCAATTTTCAGCGTAGGCATCAACTTGAAGTTGCACTTTATGTTTTACACACCTTTAAAGATGTCCTTCCGGAAGTAAAACATGCCCTCCTGGACAGCGTTTCTCTTTTGCGCGACCTTCATGTTTTCATCAACCTAACGAAAGTAAAGATGTTTATTTTCTGTATCTCAACACAGTGTACAAAACCTCAACTGTACCACTGAATATATTTCTCCTTTTACAAAAAGGGTAAAGCTGTGTGGTTGTCATCACCTTTGACAACGGGATCAGGAAGTCCAATTTGTAGGACAAGATCACTCTGGTGAGCAGGACGACAAAGACCACGTACGCAGCGTTTTCAAAGTCAGTTAGTTGCACCTAAAAAGCAAAAGCAAAAAAAATATCACTTAGGTCACAAGATGCCACAATTGAATACAAGCCCAAACTAAAAGTCTAAAACATAGTTGGTAAATACCTCCATGGGTCGGAACTCCACTCTCCAGCCGATGTCCGAATTTGGAGGTGGAGGTTTAAACCTCATCGTCTGCCAGTTGGTTGATTGGAGGTTCTGCAAGAAATCTGAATGAGTACTCAAACACACTCATGTCCCAGCTGTATTGTCTTGTAACGGATGGTTTTCTTTCTTCTAACAAACTCCCTGTGGGATACATAAAATCTTCACCTCAAAGTGATCCGACTCGTTTTCATCATCCAAGTGTATCTTCTCCTCGAAGACAGAGAGCGGGTCTCGGATGAAGAGGTGTGCTATGTGTTGGGCCAGAAGCTTGTCAATTCCTATAAACAACAGCAAAAAAAGATGACTCATTTAACTGCTGTACAAACATCTACTTGTGAAGTTTGACTGCGCCAAACACATTTGTATTTGATCCATCAGTACCTCCACCGAGCAGCTGCTTGTAGATCTCCTCGTCTATTGTCAGATCAATGTCGTTGTACTTCTCGCCACAGCTTGACAGGTAGCTGTCGATTGAGTCATATCTTGACTTGAAGATCCTGTATTTGTTGTTTTTCAAGGGCTGCAAGAGAAAAAGACATTTTTTACATATTACACACAAAATAAATACAGCAAGTGCTCGAGAAAAACAAATATGGACTTTGTTCAAATCGTAATTGTAAGTAATTCAGAACATGTCTCACTGCAGAAGTTTAGAGAACATGTGACAGCAATGAAACATTTCTATAAACCAAACCTAGTTATTGTTGTTCAAATGAGAGAAGCAGAAGTTTGACCTTGTTGAGAAGCTATTTAAGGGTACAATGAAAAAATGTGACATTGCATCACAGAAAAACACTTTCAGTCTCAGTGTGTCCCTTCACTGTCACACCTGTATGAGGAACCAATTCAAAAAGTGTAAACCTACACGTTAAGGGTGGAATTTTATCTAACTGTGACACCTTCACTAAGAAATGATCACTTTGTTGATGTATTTAAAGCTAAAAACTAAATGAAAACTCAGGAGAATCAGGTTTTTTTTTGTAGAGTTAAATTAGTTCCTAACAAGTGTAGAGCACAAACTGTTGCAACAAAGCTTAAAAACAGGTAGTCCAGTTATCAAAACTTAAAAACACAGGATGAAACCCTGCTAACTTTGTCTCACTTGTTAAACTTTTCAGATGCTGCTGAATTTTTCCATCCGTTAAACTGACCGAATCACGAAAGTAACATAATCATGCTTCAGAAGTTACAACTGTCCTAAAAATTGTGTTCAATCTTCTAATATGCAATAAAACAGATGACTTTGTATTACCGACACAGTGTAGAAACAATATATTGTTCATTTAACTAAATTGTAATTCGGGAACCTAAATGTCAGTCTTCTTTTTTCATTCTGCTTTCAGTTTCACCTTCAGCCCACGTTCCTCTGGTGTTCGGTCATCCACCGAGGCAGAAATAACTCCCCAGCGGCAATCGATATCTGACACGTAGCCTCTGTAGAAGGGTGAGGCTGCACTCAACGCCATCTGTAAAGAGCAAAAACTGTATTCAGTGTATTTAAAAAATATATATATTTGTGTGACAAATAAATAGAAATTTTAAAAAGTGACCATAGGAACAAGTGATTAAAAAAAAGTTACTCCTGCACACTGAGTCCACAAAATATTTTGAAATGGGTGATGTCTGAGCAGTTAACAATATAAGAGCAGCAGTGTAGAGGCAATACACTAAAATAAAAAAATACAGGTACAATAAAGGAAAACTTTAAATGTAGAAAAGCATCTTTAAAATCCACATATAACCCAGAAAGCATGCACTCACATGCACTGTATTTTGCTCGGTACACGGAGGAAGAGATCAAAACAAGAGTCTGAATGTGAATTTACTAACTCAGACCTGTTGGCGTTGGGAGTTTAAAGAGTGAAAATATACAGGCTCTCCAAATTTGTAGAGCTAACCTCTGTGTATCTCAGAGAGGACACTGCAACTGAAATTTCTGTGTGCAATATTACTTTTTGCATTGATGCTGCATTTTAAAATAACCCTCACCTACATATGGGTCTGTAATTACTCTTCTTTGATTGTAGAAATTAAGCCACATACAATTAAACTGTGATGCATTGTTTATTTATTTCATGAAAAAACATTGTGACTGGCAGTTTTTGTCAGTTTACTTTGTTTTTATCTCCTAATGCAAAAGAAATTTGCACGACACAGCAAAATATCACCAAGCTCTACGTGGTAGTTTTAACATATCTGAATTAGCAGCTGAATAATAAGTTGTATAATAGTCCTGCGGAGAAAGAGGCCTGTTAAATAATCACAATATATGACATAAAGCATGTGCTTCATTTATCTACTCACCACGATGGGGCAGAATGTTGCTAGTTGGTCATAAAGATACCTTGCCTCATCAATGCTGCAAGCCTGGAATGTCACCTGCAAAAGCATCATAAAAGAGGCTGAAGTACATTTATAAATCACTTATTAAGATAGCAGTGTAACACAAAACTCAAAATAGTCTCTAAATAAACTCTAATTGCCACACGGCTCAGTTAGTTCCTGCGGTACCTGCAGGCAGCAGTTGCCCATGCCAAAGCCCATAGCATCCATGTAGATGTGGTCGGGCAGAGCCGCTCTCGCTGCTTCGCCATCGTCCTCAGGAAACTCTTCCACAAATGGAGATGGAGTGCACTTGTCTTTGAAGACTGAAACAGGAGAAGGAATGTAGTTATATTTAGTTATTTATTTCATACAGTCTCAGCGTGACGAGGCAAACGAAACACCTTCAGCTGCACACACGGTTGCATATTACATACCAGACATTTTCTGCCCACACCTCACAACAATATCAAATCACAGTATAAATAAACGTCACATCACTTGTTTGAAATGGAAATTACGATATCTAGTTTACTGTACTAAGATTTATATCAGACTTACTTGGCACATTTATTGCAACTTTCTCTCCTCTTCTGTGACGTATGTTTCTGGTAAGGGTGCTGACAAAACAAATCCAAACACGAGGCACACTTTAGTAAAGGGAAACATTCAGACTGAAAGCAGTGAAACAAACATGCATGTGTGGCCAAAAACCAAAACAGAGCATGTTACAGCTGCAACATGCAAATAGGCAACCACAGGTATGTGGTCTAATCCGCTGGGTAGCGTCATGGTGCGGTAGCGTCATGTTAAATACCTGTCTAATTATACTGACAGCATGACAGCGACGCCTACCTGAATCTTGGGTGTCTGTTGATGGCTTCGTCTGGGAAAAACAGTGACTTTGACACTCCCTTTTCAACAGGAGTCGGCCGGTACTCTGGTCTGGTGAAACCTGGGCAACCTAACCTAAACAGAGGATCAGAACAATGCAACTGTTATAGAGCTGCAACAACAATGACTTGGCTTATCGATCAGTCTGTTTGCTTTCTCAGATAAGTGATTCTCTGTTTTGTAAAATATGATTTAAAAAAGAATAGAATTTAAAATAAAAAAAGTGTGCTGAAATGTTTAGATGTCCTTTTTTGGGTGACCAAGTTTCCAAAACTAACAAAGCACGAAAGGAAAAGCATTAAATCCTCACATTGGAAAAGCTAAAGTCTGTATTTTTTGCAAGAAAATAAGTCAATTCTGTTTCTTGCCACTAATGAACCAACTAATCCACTACTCATTATAGCTCGAAACCAAAATGATAATTGAAATACAAATGCAATCAATCACTGTTTCAGAGTTGAAAGGCTGATCTTATTTTGTTCTGATCTCAATTAAGAACCATTTGAAACATGTGACGAATGCAAGCCAAGGTACCTTGGGAATGCGGTGATGGTGCACAGGGTTTCATTTTGGTTCAGGACAGACGACGCCTCTCGTCGTCGTTTCCCCATGTTGCCCTCCACAGTGTTGAACTCTGACATTGTCCCTCCGTACGGCTGTCCTGGAGTTCCTTCGATCATGTAGCTGCCGTACTCTGGTCTCCAAAGCGTGGGGTGGCTGCAAACATATTCAAAGTGTTGTGAAAACTTTCTACTTCCATACGTCAGCCAGGGAGAAGGCCCTGCTCTCGGTATCACAATGACCTTTCTGATTAAATAAACTGACCGCTCTCCCTTTATCATATGTCTGCCGTAATCCTGGCAGGGCAAAGCAACGCGACGTATTTGTGCTTCAGAGCGTGCTCTTTGGTGTGTGCGACAGAGGGGCAGTAATGAGGAATGCATCGGCTCCACTATTCTCACTGCCACTGGTATTTCCCCTGGGTAAAGTTGGCTTCACAGATTTAGACCGACGTCATGGGCAGCGAGCAAGCATAACACGGAGAGCCTGTACAAACACATTTACAGCGCCTGCAGAGAATTCCTCTTCTTTACTGAAATGTTACTACAGTTTAGGGGTGCAACCGGCTTCCCAGGAGGAGTTCCTTCTTCTCATCACCTTTACATGTCGGAGATTTCAGTGAATTATTGAAAGTTTTTTAACCATCTCAACAACAACGCTATAAAAAGACATGCTGACAATATTAAGACGAATAGATTCCTTTTTTGTATACAGTTTATTATTTAATCAAAAATACTTCTATATCCACAAACAATTCAAGCCCAAAATAAGCAGCTTCAAAAGTTTGTTTGAAGGCTCACTGTGGTCATAACGTGTGTGTTTACACTACAGCTGCAAGTATTAGTCGAATGACGTTTTAGTCTGTTGATAGGAAAGTTAGCTATTGCTACTACTACAACTATTTTGCTATTCGCTGTACTTCAAGCAGCCACCTTTTTCAGCAGAAATACCAAAACACTTGCCGTTTCCAGTTTTTTCACACACAAGGGGAGAGCCTGAGAGGCCGTGCCAAAATCAAATGGAAAAATTCAAGCACGCCTGGAAGAGATTTGCTCCACCCGACTTGTGCAACGACAAAGGGATTAATAGCTATCCTGTGTAAATGCTAATGTATGGACGTGCCTTTTTAGTGCTTGTTAGGCCTGAGACCACACACAAAAATGTGTAAGAAATGACTAGCATGACCAGTTGTGTTGAACAGGTTTGACGTGAAGTTTTGACAAAGGGAAGATCAGCAGAGAAATCTGCTTGGGTGTTACCAACATTGAAGCCACTTTCATAAATATCAGTGTGAGCATACATATAATTTTTAAAAGTGCATTCATCTTAGGAAGCATTCACACTAGCATGGAAATTCAAAGACTCTGAATAATGCTGCTACCATCACGTAATCAACTGAAATAACCCACGTGATGGACCGAGTGTTCTGCAGCAACCAGAGAAATGAAGACAAACCACATGCTCACAGCTGTTGCCTTGTATCAACCCTCAGCTGAGTAGCTACAACCTGTCGAGAGAATGGAGTTTGTCATTAACTGTTACTGTTCGTGTTTACAATTTGTATCAGGCGGATGTTGGCTAAACTTATCAGCCGACAAGGAAAACCTTTGTGGGTGTATAGTGGTTTTAGTGATAACAGATGCCAGTGAAAGGGTGTTATGCATCTGTTATACATATTGATTTAACTTTTAGACACGGTCTCCTCTTACCGGTGCTGTTTATGATGTATGATATCGGAGGCCAGTCATTAATGTTTAAATCACTATCGGCCAGTCAATATCTCTCCTCACGACAATCCAAAACAAACTAACAGCAGCTCCGTTGTTAGTGTTGGCATCATTTCAAGATGAGATAAAAACAAAATTGAAGTCCTGCCTTTTCTGTGGTTCAGCTCAGTTCAACAATATATTTGTAAATATAACAGACTGCCAGACTAAAAAAAAGAAAAGAGAGAGAGAGGATGGAATGACAGCGGAAGCCATTAGCCAACACTAAGCAAATTATGCTCTCCCTCCATTAACACTAAGTAAATTAAGGCCTTCCTTCATTAAAACTACACCGTATATAGACTTCTACATCAAAATATTCTGCTGAATTTTCTAACATGTGCTGTCAAAAGCAGACTTACTTGGGGTTTATCTTTTCACCCTGGTCTTGGAGAGTTTCCAAAACATCTCCGCCGTTCAGGACGATTCGTACCTTCTCATCCTTGTCGTCCAACTCCACCAACATGTACTCCACCTAAAAGCAAACAAACAAAAACAATCCCAAATAAACACCGGATCTAAAGCACGTTTCTAACTTCTGAAAACAGGCTTTCCATCAGCGCTAGACTGCAGCACAAAGCAAAGGTTTTTAAGATCAGACTGGGACGCCATCACATCAATTCCAATTCATCAGTTATGTTTCCTTGACTTTGACTCTGCTACCCCGTAATCCCCTGTCTGAAAGGGGGATTAATCTATAACAACAGCATTCCACATCGTTTGAAATCAAAACACTTTGTTCGAGCTGTGGCACACTGAAGTTTTGTGGTCTGGCGTCGGGGCAAAAGTGAGAAAAGCAAGCGGGGGTGAGGTTTTCAATGGAAGAGGGAAAAAAAAAAGTCACAACTGCAAACAACTGCAGATCTTAACTTGTTTTACACGAGGCATTGTGTTACCGTTTACCCAACAAGGAATGTCTTCCTTGAGTTAAAGGAGCGCAGTATGGAGCATACATAGCAGTAAAAGTTACAAGAAAACTGAAGGATTAGTTATTATACAAGCTGTTGGATAAGCAGTAGTGACAAATTTGGAATTGTGATTCATATTCATGAAAAAAACAACAACTTGGCACTGATCAACACTGTATATTAAGTTCACACATGCTAGATAATGGGAAACTCTCAAAAACAGCACCTTATGGATATTTGCACAACATTTGTACATAATATTCAATGTTGCAGATGCATTTGAGTGATTAAAAAAAAAAATTATTTTTGGCTTCCCTAATGAATGAGTGACTTTCTCCATCATTAAAGGAGCACTTATGCACAGCCATGCCTTCCAGATGAGCTGCACCAGCAGACAGCCTCTTACCTCATCGCCCCACTTGAGCACATCTTTCTGCCGCTCCTTCACCTTGTTGTAGATGTTGAGGAACTGGATGATACCGTGCTTTCTGATGTGGTCGGCATACTTCTTGGTTTCTTCCCAGTTGAGCGGAGAGCCCTGTGACAGTAAACCCATCGCAACAAAAAAAAAAACCAAAAAAACAAACAAACAAAAAAAGAGGAGCTGACGGCTGTCCTGCTGGCTTGCTTGTACTTCAAAGTGCACGCCGAGCGTTAGCTAGCTAGCTACTTTGTCCAACTCGCGGGGCAGCTCGCATGAAGTCTCGGTCCGGACCAGCGGCGGGGGTTCTGTGCTCCTCGGAGTGCCGTCGGGTTAGTTTACAGGCTGAGAGCAGAGCGTGTCGGTGCTGTTAAGCGGCGTGCCCTGTCGGTAACCTTAGCTGAGCATCCAGAAGACACAGGGCCCCTGCTCATCACCTGCTAATGTCTGGTTAGCTCCGTAAAAACCGTTAACCCCCTCCACAACAACCGGAGGAGTTCAAGTCAGCGCCCGATAGCCTCGACCAGGAAGAACAGCCCCCGGACTTGAGACGGTGAGTGGTGCAGCTCTGTGAGGCGGTGACAGCGAGGTGAACCGGTCCACGGGTCGTTGATGCAGCCCAGTGTGCTTCCCGGAGTCGGGATGTGTTGGACATATGAACGCCCTCCTGCTTTTTTACACACGTGACGTCTTCAGGCGGAGCGGAGCGCCTGGTGTCGTCACTATGACTCAGCAGTCTTTGCCGCGCGGCTCCTCCCCGCGAGCTGTCAATCACAGTTGCGTTCAAGTGCACTAGAAAACTGGGGCACTTCTGCGACGACTCGGAAACTTTCCATTCCTGTGCGTAGGATGGCCTTTTTGCTCCATTCACTACACTCCTCTTATTTTAAATGAATACATTATTTCTCAATGAATAAATAAAAGAGCAGCATTTAAATGACTGCTGGCAAGTTAGATGAGATTAGCTGCAACTTTTTTGCACCTCTGTGTGCTATGTCTGATTTATCTGTACTGTTTTTCCTAATAACAGAACAGATGACCCTGCACCATAAAGACAGAGCAGATACCTAGATATCAGCAGTTTGAACAAACTCCATCAGTAGCAGAACATCAAGCAAAACATTGGGCAACTAAGGACATATATAAAACACATCACAACCCTAACAAGTACTTCTATCTGTTTAACTGGATAATCTGTGTTCTTTGTGGGGCAAATCCTACTGACAAGAAATAAACCACTGTAGGAATTCTGCTGTGGCTTGTAAATCTACCTGTGATCTACATCTATTATCTATGAATAGTTCATTTTTACATTTCAATTTAGGATTTTGCAAGAAACAAAATAAGCAGTCAGGGCCATGATTGAACTTTTCCCTTTTGAAATTGCAGTGTACCAGTAACAGTCTCAAGAACACATTTTCAGACTTCACTGGTTTCATTGTTAACAGACCGAAGGAGCCGAGCCTGTCAACTCACAAACTCTGCTCTTTGACAGTGCAATCTGCCACCTTGTCAAGCTCTTTTAGATCAGTGATACTAAGATAAACAAACATGCAGTTCCAACTTTAACATAGGACAGCTTCATAAATACATAACAATATATATAACCTGCTAAGTTTGTCTAAACCTGCTTATTTATCTCTCTCTATTTTCTTGGCTTAATATTCTTCTGGAAGCTTGATTTTTTTCCCTGTCATTGGCTGGTCCTTTTCAAAAAGGTAAACGGAACAATGTCTCAAATAAGAATAATATTTGTGAAAAGTGTCAGTACAAAGCAGCTGTGTCTTGTTTTTGCTGCAGTTAGCACCACAAACCCACCTGCTAGTCCATTAACATTCAGAGAATTAAGAGGAATGACTCATATCCGTCTAGATTGTCTAGATTGTGTGAGGTAGCAGTTTATCTTGAACATTTGAATGCAACATTGTACTAAGAGAAAAGTCATTGTAAGAATGACACAGCATATGACTTTTGTGGGGGTGTGAGGATTGTAAATGCTTGGGTTGATAAAACACAGTCTAGGTCAATGACCTACACTTACATCTGTACCAAGTAAGGATGTTGTTTAACTTGTATGACTTGACAAGACCACTATATTTACAACGGCTAAAAAAAAAAACAAACATAAAAATCTGCACAGTCACTTCCGCAGTGACAATCAGAGCACAAACTTTCACCTTTCCTAAGCTGCTCTTGAAATGTTTGTGAATGAAAATGATAGTTGTTCATCAGAACAGAATCCGGTCATCACACATGCTCTAGGCAGGCAGCTTGTTCAAAATGTGTGGTGCAAATTTTGCTATATGCAAATGTATTGTTGGTGTAGATCACAAGGACCAGATATTTGTTGAAGTTTGAATTTATGAGTCATTACAGCCATAAACTGAGGGACTGCAGTGGGCCAAAAGGCACAAGTTCATTGTGTCACTCATTCATTCAGCTTTTGTTTAAATTGGAAATCACTCAGATATGAAGGCCTTATTTACAATACAGCAAGATAGTAAGAAAATAAATAAGAAAATAAAAGATGCAGGTACACAAATAAGAAGCTTGGATAACAACAGCTATATAAATATTAAAAGGCAAAGTCGGTAAAATTATAAAACCATTTAGGATTTCAAAACAAATGAATCCACTAAAACAGGAATAACTGGAAGTAAAATAAGATGAAATCTAAAACCTTGCTTGTTAACGGTTAAAAACTGATCAAGCTGTAAATGGCTCTGCAGGTTTTTCCAGGTTGCAGGTGCACATTGAGTAAAACTGGATTTAACAAGTGCAGTGAAAACAATCAGCAACTACAGTGTAATCCAGTCATTTGTATTTAGTAAGGGCTTACATTAAAATATAGTCAGTCAATTATGCAAGGGGGTAGAAAACCAGTAAGAGCCTTATGAATAAATGAAACGCAGTGTCTGTTACAGAAACTAATCGAACTCTCATACATCTCTCTCTTTATATATATATGTCATTATATGTAATGTCTCGTCTGAGGAGGAAGCCACTGTTGTAAAAAGCTCATATTAAATCTTGACTCGCCAGAAGGCATGTAAGAGACTCTTAACTCAACAAGAAGAACATTCTTTAGTCTGATGACACTGAAAATTGAGCTTTTTGGTCATCAGGCTAGACGTTATGCACATTATGACAAATATACCATCCCTACAATGAAGCACAGTGGCGGCAGCATCATGATTTTGGGATACTTCTCGGCAGCAGGCCCTGGAGGACTTGTAAAGGTGGAGGGTCAAATGAATGCAGCAAAGTACAGGGGCACCCTGGAGGAAAACCTGTTGCAGCCTGCAAGAGAATTGTGACTTGGGGAGAAGATTTGTTTTCCAGCAAGGCAACGACCTGAAGTATACAGCCGAAACTACACGGAAATGTTTAAAGAAAACAAGGTGAATGTTGTGAAGTGGCCGAGTCATAGCCCAGACCTTAATCCAATTGAGAAAAATGGATTAAAACTGCTTTGCCCAATTGTGCAAGGCTGATTCAGACCTATCCCCGCAGGATCAATTCTACAATTGCAGCCAAAAGTGCATCTACTAAATACTGCCTGGAAAATGTGATTACTTATGCAATCACTTACTTTACATTGCATTTTATTTTATTAAGTAGTCTGACATTACTTTTTAGAATGCTGTTTCTAGTTTGATGTTAAAGACTCCTGACTGACCATGGTTCAGTGCTGAAAAGCATTAATATAAACATATATTCACAAAAACATACAGTGTAATAAATTACTGTAAAAATCCTTTCAATTATATTTTTACTGTAGAGTAATGTAATCAATTATACAGTCGTTAACTGTTGCAGTAAATTACAGTTTTAAGACTGTAAAAATTACAGTATAATGCTGGTGACTGCAGCTGGTGCTATTTTACTGCAATTTTACAAGAAAATTCTGTCAATGCAGATTTGAATTATTTGAAAACAGCAAAAATAATCCAGTGCAACTGTGCATTTGTGGATGAGTGAGATTTGTAGTTGTCAAAAACAGATCAGAGCTTTTTTTATTTTTATTCTTATTCTTATTCTTATTCTTATTCTTATTCTTATTATTCTTATTCTTATTATTATTATTATTATTATTATTAAGTGTGTCACATAAATGCATGTCTTAAATGCTTTTTTTTGTTTTGTTTTTTTTTTTAAGTCAAAATTAAAGTAAACATAAAACTTGCATGGAAACAGTTTTGAATAAATGACCACATCTCAAAACGGCTTACACTTCATCTCTTTAATTTAAAAACAAACAAAAAATGGAAGGACATGAGCAGTCAGGAAATTCATGAGTCCAGGAAAGCTCAGGCTCTGAACATCATTCACCAGTTCTATTTTTTTTTTTCTTTTTTACAAAATAGTTTATTGCTGTCACTTCTCAACCCATTCAACCCACATCATCCTAACATTTGTTTTCACGCGGACAGTGTTTGATGGTGATCACACAACTGCACAACACAAGACTGCTAAGTGCTGCACATGAGACACATGTAGAGAAATCGCAGTCTTACTGTGAGGTGTGGTTAAACACTAATCACAAACACCTACTCCTGGTAGGTGAAACCAACAGTTATTCCAGCTTCAGCTTCTTATTCTGTTCAAGTATGTGAGAATCACAGTAGCTATAGTCCCCATAAACAGGACTGTCACAAAATCCAGTATTATTTCAGTGGTACTGAGTAAAAAAAACCCCATCATTATGTTTCAGATGATTGTTTTGCTTTTTTTAAAAAACAAAACAAAAAACCTTTTCATTTGCGCTTTATTTAATGTTGTATTTTCTGTAGAAACAGGGCTAATGAAATTATCCAAGCTGAATTGGCCCCAGAATGAAATTTGTCTAAAAATGATCATTATCTAGCCTTCATGATGCCAAATGTACTATATGTTAAATGCAGGCTTTTGAATTCTTTTTGGTTTAAAATTTTATTGAATCAAATTAACAAAGCTTTTAAAAATATTTTACAAGAACATGTTCCCAAATTTGTAACCTTTGCAGACCTTTTGTTAATTTTTGCTCATCTAAAAGAATAAAGCTGATGAACATTTTGTAGGAGAACCTACAATCAAGATTATGCAGCAGACAAGCTGGAGACCTTTAGACGTGTAAACTACAGCGTTGTTATCATCTGATTCCTTATATGCTGACTGGTGCAGATGAAACTGAACTGGCTCTGGACTCTCGTGTTTTCCGTGTGGGTATGGTGACAACACAGCATGAAATGCCGACTGTAGCTTCTGGCAATTCATCATCCTCAGTCCATTCATTGAGGTCAGGGTTGTAAACCTGAATGCATTTCTTGTACTTCTTCTCGCCCTCGTTCCAGCCCCCAAGGAGATAGATCTTGTTGTTCAAACTGGAAATGCCGGCTGTGCTCACCCCCGTATGGAGAGGCGCACAGTAGCTCCACTGCCCGTTGTGTGGGTTGTAAGATTCGACTGCGAGGACGTCCACCCTCTCCCCACGGCCTCCCAGCTGGCTGCCACCGATCACATAGGCTCGGTCTCCCACGGTGGCGGCGCAGTGCCAGCCTCGAGGTGTGCTCAGACTGCTCTTATCCTGCCAGGTGTCGGTGGAGGGGTCGTAAGAACACACAGCCCTGGAATAAGCGTTGTTGATGTAGCCTCCAGATACCAGGATCTTGCCATCGATGACGGAGCTGCCATGACAGCAGCGGGGCACCTCCATGGGAGCCTTCATCTGCCACTGGTTTGACGAGGGCACGTAGCACTCCACGGAGGCCTGAACACCGTCAGAGTTTCGACCTCCGACGGCAAACAAGAGGCCGTTGAAAGTGTTGAGGCTGAAGTGGGTGCGCTTTTGGATCATGTTGTTCAAGTGAATCCAAGTGTTGAAGCGGGGATCGTACCTAAAAAACGTGAGAGGGACTGACAGTTATTTTCTACACCAACTAATATGACAAATGCTGAATTTAAGTCGGTTTGTTCTTACCTGCAGAAGTTGCTAACAGCGTGTTTAGCCTGGTTCCTTGCATCATTCTGGTCCTCACCACCTGCCACATACAGGAAGCCGTCCAACATGGCCACACACTGATTAAAGCTCTTTGCTGGCATTTCTGTCAACTTATTCCACACGTTATCCGAATCTCTGTAGAGGACGTCTTTGCTGAGGGATTTCTCTGTCAAGGCAGGGCGTCCACCAACTGTGAGAATCACCCTGAGGCCTCCGCGTACCTTTGTTCTGCGTGACTGGAGGATGTTCTGTTGATATGGCAGCAGATGGTAATTCATGGCATCAACAAGGAGACGGTGGCACTCGGGGTCTTGCATCATTCTAGGCACACTCTGGACGTGATTCACCAGGTCTTGGGCAGAGATAGTGCCAAAGCGGATGCTAGTCAGAAGATCTGCTGCGTACTTCAACCTCTTCTCGTCAAAGTCCAACCATTTCATGGCGATCTGGAAGGCAGTGACCTCAGACGGGAGCTGCAGGGAATCGTCTGAAAGGAATTCGCTGATCTGCTCATAGGTGAGCTTCAGGAACTGCTCCATCTCAGAGAACTCGATGAAGTTCTCCCGCATGAACTTCTGAGCCGCCTCCTTGGTTTCTTTGAGGTCATAGGCATCGGCGATATTTGCCACATACATACAATTCTCCACGCTGAGCTCCTGCATGAGGAAATCGCTGCACATCTTCACTAAGGTGCCGATCTGCAGCAGCATGGCTGCAGCGATAGTGCTGCCGATGCTGTAGAGCGACAGGGTGAGCTTTCCTGAATATGCATATGTAATTGCAGTGGCGAGGCCGACTGGTGAGAGGTCGTTCAGATCGATCTTCTGGAGGGTCGAATCCTTCTTCAAGATGTTTCTAATGTATTCGCTGCAGGAGGCCATGACAACTTTGTGGACATCAAATGACTTTGATTTGGTGGAGACTGTTAGATCACAGAGGAAGCTGTCCTGTCTCATGTTGCTCAAACCCTCCAGGAGGTTTGGGGCATACGCAGAATCATTGACTTCAGTTGAAATGCAGCTGAAGCCATTTCCTCCTTCTAACAGAGTGTTCAACCCATTAATCTTGTTGATGGGGCTGTTCTCAACCATTATGGTCATATCATTTATATCTCCTTTGCTCTTTTTGGTCGACTTGCTCTTTTTGGGTGCCATGGCTGCAGCAGCAGAATACAGCCCAGACCTTCTGAAAACATACAGACAAACATGTCAGATTTTGTTGAAAAGACCATAACAACTTAAAGATGATGCACACAAGTTGTGTCTTAAGACAGAAGCAAATTTTCCTGTTTTCTTTGTTCCATACAAATCAATTCTCTCCAATCTCAGCACATTGAACTTGTTGCCTGTGAGACAAGGTTTTTTTATGTTTTGGAGTTAGTTAGATTTATTTTGACTCAACCAGACGCTGAAAATTTTGAAAACATGTGCTCTGCCAGGTGATGCTGGAGCGTATGAGTGCATCAACGTGCCCCTCTCTGCATCTGTCACAATTTATCAGCAGTACGTCCAGGAATAGCAACACTGGTCGGCTCACCCATGACGTTCCTTTTATAGACTTTGAGACATGAGCAGCAGGCCTCATGTCCTCTGACTGTTAAAGTTCAAATTAGGCCAATTTGTTCTTTTTTTTTTTGATCTCTTTTCTTTTATATATATTGTTTCAGCTTTGTCTTAAATAAGTCTTCAGCAAACTTTATGTGCAGGCCAAAAAGCTTTCCTAGAAAGTCGCTTATTGCATTGTTCAACCACAACCCTTGTTGACTTGACAATCACCATTTCCATGGTTATGTATAAACACCCATTTTACCAACAGCTTCACACAAATTATTCACACTTTTACGCCCAGGTTAGTGAGAAAACAACACATTCTGTCCTGAAATGACTGACGCATGCGGAAACATTAACTGCCTCAAGTTGCCTTTTCACTGCTATAGAGGGGAACAACAATCAGGCATGACAAAGCTCCACTTACCTGAAAAATGAAGTTGAGGCTGGGGAAGAAGGAACTTGTGCCTCCAGTTACTGGAGCAGGAGAGAGAGAGCGACAGTCACCCCCGCTGAAAGAGACATGCAGTTAACTCCTCCTCTGAGGGGCTGAGTGCCAATCAAGTATTGTGCAATGCAAGTGGCAGAAGGCAGCGACCATACATCCCCTGACATATAGTGTCCCACAATAGCCTCCAATCAGCGGATGTCAACATACTGCCTGGGGGATTCCATGCTGTATTCTCAATGGGACGTCATGATGAGTTTCACTTGGCCTTCCCTTGTTTACAAAATTCATTAGCTCTCAGTGGTGCAAAGAACAACATACTTTTTTATACAATACTTGTTATTTATTGGTGGATATGATGCTATAGATCAGATATCAGCAGGATATAAATTTAACTTGGCTCTTTCTGGCTGAGGGACAAGTTTACTCTGACTTTCCAGGAACGATGTAAAAGGCATGAGCACTATGTGATATGACACAGAATTCTGCTTTAACTTCTATTCTGTGATGGAATAAAAAGCACCAGTGGCATTCAAATACTAACAAACAGATGGGATTAAGAATCATGCAGACACCTCTAAGGTCTGTAGGGTCCCTGAAAAGGATGTATAAATCTAATGATATTGTTTTAATCTAACCGATAACATTCATTATCTATAACATTCCTGCAGCACAAGATTGTGATTTAAGAGTATTTCTTAATGTAAATTTGGACGAAAATAACAAAATACACAGCTGTCATGATAAACTAGGCTGACGATGGTGTCGGTTACCACTTTTAAAATGATCACACCTCTTCTCAACACCTATCAGTTATGTAGTTGTTTAAGTCATCACAAGCTTGGTGTAGCTCATTTTCTGCTTTTTAGAGCGGTAGGTGATACTGATTATATATACTGGTTCATCTTCTGGTCATTTTTCATGTAATTAATAGTCACTTAGTCTATAAAATGTAAGAAAATAGTGAAAAATCTACTGTGACATTTATCTGCTTTTGTCAGAATAGATAAGTATATGCTGACTTTGCAATAATAAAAAATTATAGAAACAAATAAATAAATACATATAAATGTAAGTGTGCAGGAGACGCAGCATTTAATAACCAGCACATTTAATAATGTGAACTACAGAGTCTTATAGGTTCTGTGCAGAGGATAGGGTAAAAGATATGTACAAAAACAAAAAACAAAATAAAATAAAAAATGTTAAATACTTGGCTGATGTGTTGGCCCATGGAACTTGTGAAATACTTTCATTTAATCAAAATACTCCAGAGTGCTTACAGGAGTCCATTTAGAAGAATATCATAATGATGCCAGAAAATCTGCATATTTAATAACTGTTTCTGATTTAAAGAATGAAAAATCTCGCTGTTTTTTGTTGTTGTTGTTGTTGTTGTTGTTTTAAAAAAAATTTAATTTATTTTTATTTTTTTCATACTCGTTTCCTTTCAAAGAGTCAGGAATTTAAAAAAAAGAAACTTTGGCAACAACACGTTCGTGATTTTTGTTGTCACATAAACCGTTTGTGTCGTCGGTTCCGCCCATTATAACGGTGTCATCAGTGGGCGCGCGCTGCCCGGTGTGCGTCTCCGGTTGCACGTGAGTCTCCGTGATGGCCCGCAGCTCTCAGGTGGCGAAGAAAGTCATGCGGTGCAAACTTCAGCTCTCAGACTCAGCAGAGCCTGCGACGGTAGATATAATGTGCATTTTATGATCTCAGTGCGCACAATGGCCAAACTGGAGCAAGAGTGGAGAGTTTCCAAAGTTCTGGCCTGAAGTCTGTAGCAGTCCTGCCTTCTGTTGTTCTTGGCCAAACTTCTTTCATTCATGCTAAAGACAAATAAAACACTGGCTGTCAACTCTGACAAACAGCAACCCATTCATTTGGTGTAAATACTGAGCCAACAACAATCTGCTGTCAAAAATGTGATTTGTGCGCCACAGAGTTTCCTCTCCGTCACAATCTGAGTAGTTGTAAAATGGTTTTCTTTGTTCTGGGAGCCTTGATAATGTGCTAACAGAAGCAGATTGAGTGCTGGTCCAGCCACTGACCTGTGCTGCCTCCACACAGCACTTTAAACTCTCTGCTGTGGGGGTCAGGTTGTTCAGATGGGAGGTGCTTTGCTGCTAAAATTGGCAGCTTCTCCAGTTGTTCAACTTATGGCTGCTGTCCATCATAAGTGAAGGCCCTGCAGCCGAACTCAGCTTTGTTGGCAGATATAGACGTATTTATCCATGTCTATGTCCTTGAGTGGATTTTAAATGAAATGATTTTTCATGCAAAGCTTAAAAACATCTAATTTAGCTGTAAAGACGGACAGTATGCAGCGTAGGAGCCAGCAGTAGCATTGTCCATTTATAGTTCACAGTGAAAGCAGCAGCCTAAGTGGGTGTGTGAGGTTCCCATACATAGCTTCTGCTCCGAATGCACAATCAGCAACTGTGGCGATCCAAAACCAGGACTGCCATATTTGGCATGTCACGTTTTTCTTCAATGTAGCTCCCATTTAAGTAAGATTTTGCCCTGAACATACATGAAAATTACATTTAAGAACACTATTGAACATTGTACTAATGTGTGTATTCTTCACTTTGCAGATTGTTAAGATCTTACAGAAACTCAAGGATCTGGATATCACATTAGACATTCTTGCTGTGAGTCTCTCTTGCAAAAAAAAATGCATATATTTGCTGATGATTAAATTTTCATTGATTACACTAACTGGTGTTTAAATATAAAATAGGAAACTGGAATTGGCAAAGCGGTTAATTCCTTCCGCAGACATAAGCAGGCTGGAGAATTTGCCAAGTCGCTAGTTAAAGGCTGGAAAAAACTGGTCCCCAAGGGTTCCACAAGGTGAACTTTGTTTAATTTTGTAATGTACTGTATAGTACAACTAATCATCCTTAATTGTTATGTGTTTGACATCTTAATCCTGAATTTTCCCCTGTTGCAGCCACGGAGAAGATATGAGTTTGTCAGAGACCGTTTCTGTCAAACACAAACTGGATGACCGAGGCTCTCCAGATAATGGACGCTGGGCAATGGAAGGTGTAAACAATTATTGCTTAACATCTTACAGCAAGAATCAAGATTCTTCAGATGAAGCCCCCTTCGAAACAGGGAACAGGAGAGCAGATTCAGAGAAAGAACGATGTGAAAAGCGGAAAAGAAAAATGGACAAGGACGTAAATCACAACATAGTTCAACAAGAAAATCAGACTGTCTTTGAGAATGACATTTTGAGAAAGAAAACTGAAATCCAAGAGGACAAAAGTGACAATGCTGCTGTATCCAAGAGGAAGAAAAACAGTCTGAGTGACAGAAAACCAGAAGACAGAGATGATTTGTTTGAAGACAAAAGCTTAGAGGACACTCATCAAAAATCCAGATTTGATTCCCTTGAGAAAAGAAGTACGTCTGAGAGTGGAAGATTAGGATCAAATACAAAATCAAAGCCTTCAAGGGAAACCAAAGAAACTTTTTCATTTGAGTGCAGTGATGCATCCTCAAAAATGATAAAACAAGCCAAAGATGACAGATGTTCAGGAATATCGAGGAGCTCAGAGGCCAAAGAGAGGAGAGAGAAAACAGCACAAAAGAAGCAGAACAAAAAGGTCAAAACAAAGCACAATGACAAAGAGAGCACAAGAGACCAGGAGCAGCCCTCCATGTCCTTTGAATCATGCTTGAACTATGATGTGAATGTTTTCAAGAGGAAAGAACAATCTGCAGTAAAGAAACATCCAAAAAAGATTAAGATGGTTGTAAAAGAGCCACAAACAAAAGATCCTGACATGAAGCCTTTCCAGTCACCTCCTACCTCTCCTAAACAGGTACCTTTGACAATAATATGAAAAACTTTTAGAGTTTAGGCCACGATTGCTCAATAATCCATTTTTATTTCAGGTGTTTCAGGACTCTATGATGCACCTGCTGAGCATTCCTTTACCTGCTGCTCTGCCTGAAATTGAAAAGCCATCCACCGTGGAGTACTTTGACAGGAACGGTACTGTGTCTATAACAAATACAGCTGTATTTTCATGCTGGCTACTTTGTTCTTTACGCCTTTTGTTTGGTTATGAAGTAGAGAAAGAGTCAGATTTCTGTGACGCCTCTGAGGAGTCTGCAGTCTTCACTGGCCAGCGACTGAACAGCAAGATGCAAGTGTACTCTGGTGCCAAGACGGCTTTCCTGCCAGCTATGATGAGCCTGCACCAGCAGTGTATCCGCACGCTCCAGAACAATATCAACTGTGAGTAAAGTCCGGAGTAAGTCGTTGCAAGGCTCTGTCAGTGTGTTGGATTTATATTTAGGTGCTGGGATGTCTTCTCAGTGCTTTATGAGACTGGTGGAGTCCCGTTTGAGCTGCTGGAGCCGGTGTTGGAGAGGTGCACACCGGAGCAGCTGCTACGCATTGAAGAATGCAACCCAGTAAGAATGTGACATACAAATACATTTAGTGCAGTTACACTCACTGTGGCCACTTTATTAGGTCCAGCTGCTTTCCACTGGGTGTTAGTTCTGCCTTGTTTCCTGGCTGTGGGACGAGTTTACTCTGGCTTTCCTGGGACCACTTCAAAAGCATTAGCACTCTGTGATGTGGCACAATATTTTGCTTTAAGTGTTCGTGATGGAGAATGGAGTTATGGAGAATGTATCTTGTCTGCAAATAGCATAGACACAGACTACAAATGGCATTCGAACACTGGTTACCAGATGAAATAGCATGCATTAACCCAATGATAACAATTTAATCACCAGATTTATTAAGTACTTGTTTGGTACATTAGTCCTTTTTTGGGTGTTGCAGCCAGTTGAGCACATGGTCAGGTTTTAAGAATATGTTTTAATATAAACTTTTAAAATTCTCACCAAACAGTTGTTGTTTATTTAGTTAAGTCATCACGTAGCCCATTTTCTGCTTCTCAGGGCTGCAAGTAACTTTTTTTTTTTTTGCTGATGATTATTTAAATAATCAGTAATCATTTAGTCTATTAAAATGCAAACTATGTTAAAAATACCTACCACAGTTTCATAAAGCCCATGGTTAATGTACAAAATGAAGAAAAACAGAACAACCTCAAAATTTAGAGGCTGGAATCAGAGAATGTTTAAAAGTTTTGCTTGAAAACGAGGACAATTTTCCGTTGATTCACTCTAAGTTGTTTCAGCCCTTCATCTTCCCTGACTACAACACGTCATGGTTTTAGTGTATGTCCTCTAAGTACTGTTCAACAGGTTCCTTCACACAACACTTTTGTACTGAGCTGTTTACTGACTACATGCAGCTTTCTTGTTTACTTGTCTGGCTCATCTTCTCTGATCTCTTTCACTGACAAGGTTTACACCTTATGTCAACAGTGAAGCATCAACTACACGCTCTTTGTTTTGTAAATTGTAAAAATCCAAAGGGAGCAGTTTTTTTTTTTTTTTTGAACCATCACATCTGGCATCAGCAGCCCTGCAGCACTGAAACAGTCTTTGATTGTATATCTCATGGGGAACCTTGTTTGGCTAAATAAACTAACCTCCTGACCCTATTGTCATGTTTTGCTTCCTGAAATGTGCCAGAAGTGGAGGTTGTGGTTGTTATCAGTGTTAATGAGCAGGTTTTCCTTCAGTTGCAACTGAATCTGTCACTTTGTTCTGAAATACTGAACCTTGTAGACTTTAGGTAGAGATGAGAAAAGTTATTGTAAAAGCTTGACGGATTTCATTCAAGTGTACCATTTTTCTTTGTTGTTTTCTACAGATCTACGTTGGTGTAACAGACCATTTATGGGGAAAACACTGTCAGAGGGACTTCAAAGAAGCCAGACTTCAAGAGTATGAATCATGGAAAGAGATGTACATCAGGCTGTCAGAGGAGAGGGAGAGGAAATTACAAAGACTGACAAAAACTATTGTCATGGCACATTCTAAGAAACCGAAAGGTGTGTGCTTTACACTGAAAACCTTTCCACTTCTAAAGGAAACAGTTTGACATTTTGATAAAACGTGCATATGTGTTTTGATGCCGAGAGTTAGATTACAGGACCAATACTACTTTTACAATTACACTATGGACATTAATCCACTGCTGGCGCCAAGAAAGTGAATAAGCTTGTATTTCCCCACATCTGAAACCATCGCTTTAAATAATATATCAATAGTAGGTGAAATACAAACATATGAACTAAACCTGCTCTACAGATTTAAACTGTCCTGGTTTCCTACCTAAGCCAGCAATCTGGGCTGAACAGCTTTTTGTGGGATTTTTTGTACATTGGTCAAACAAATTCTAGTTATATCACTAATGTCAAAGGAGAAATAGTTTATATGAGGGACTGTACATTGATGGAAAAAACACCCTTATGATGTTCTGCACACTGTGCCACTTTTTTTTTTTTTAGGTCGGCAGGTGAAGATGGCATTTATTCACACTGTTGCCAAGCCACCGAGAGATGTGCGAATTCAGCAGGAAATTCATGGAACTGCTGTTCAGCAGCCTCATCAGCTCAGGTGCAGGTGGGTTTCAGCCTCCGAAACACAGAAACATTTCAAGCAGAGAGCTTTTGATTATCTCATTGTTACTTTATTCAATTCTCTCGTTGATGAAATTAGGTCATCTCTGTTTTTTTTTTTTCCTCTTAGTGATAAAGTGCATAAATAAAGCAGACTATTAGAGCCATTCTGGCGCGTTGATGTGCATTTGTTTGTCTTTGGCAAAACATGAACACCTGGTAAGCCTTGTGCTTGCTCTGCTCCTCTTCCGCATAAAAGCCCTTAACCACAAAGTGATCGCTAAACAACAGCAGCTTAGCAGGGTCATAACCTGTCAGAGACTCATGTGATAACGCTGGGCAAAATGCTTTTTGGGCGAGCTTAGCCAAACACAGGAATTGGAGCAATGTGCTGGATAAACTGGTTTTATTCTGGTTGGAGACGGCCTTGGCTCCTTTTGTTGTCAACTGTTGCTCACCAGCTGTAGTGTATCGCTGACATTTGGAGGTAGACGGACACTGATTTTGTAATTTTCATGTGCTTTTGTTTTGTTCGTATTTCTGCTGTTGATCGAGTTATGCCCTGTGCTGCTGATTAGTTCCTTTTATTTCCAGTGTCAAAGTTCAGGACCACCGATCGAGGGCGGTTTGTAATGAACCCAGCAGGTCCAGCAGCACCAGTTCAGGGGGAAGCAATACACAAGACCCTCGTAAAAAAACAAGTGAGTGGAGTTGTGTTAGTTTCTGTCTTTCTAAACCTGTTCACATCTTCTGTCAGCCACCACTTTCATTGATCAAGTGTAAAAACAAATAAATCTAACTTAAACTCAGTAATTTTAATGGCTGACATTTTACTTGATCTGCTTCGTGTTTACTGAATTGTTTAAAATGTTGTTCTCACAGGAGTTGCTCCGATGATGGCAAAGTCCCTAAAGGCATTTAAGAAACAGCTGGGACGCAGATAAAGGCCTGTGTATGATGCTGAGCGTGGATGTGCAGCAAATGTTCAATAACTTAGAACTGTATGAGGCCTGTTTTCACCTTTAGGTTATTCTGTGTTGTTTGTCTAACTATAGAGGCAATAAGGGAACTGCCATGTTTTTTTCTGTGAATTGTCTTCACTATTAAATGGACAATGAAGTCAGCAAATTCACTTGGGTTCATATTTTGTCTGTCGGCCTATTTGAGCTGAATAAGGTCAGTCGGTAAATACTTTTGTGGGATGTGGCTCCCTCTAGAGGAAATGCAGAAGATGTCTTTTTTTTCTCCGTGTACATTTCTACAAACGCTCTGCTACACACAATAATTTCTGATAATCTTAATAAATGCTAACGCAATCTAGCACGACTGCAGACTAAAGACCCAAGAATTTCTCATGGGTGCTTTAATTTCAAGCTGTTTGTTCAATTTCGTCAACAAAATGTTTCGTGTATTGATTTTTTTTTTTGTCAGCTCACTGTAATCCCTTATGATAATAATGTGTTTAATAGACAAAGACATCTGTCACGTTTCAAGGACCCTTCCTGTCTATTTCTGTGTTTTGGATATGTTTGAACACCTGTTTGAGATGTTAGAGGGAAGGCTGTGGAACCACTGCAGCCTTCAGCACCACCTGTGGCAGCCCGCTGAGACTGCATCATTAATCTGTCTTCATGTTTAATTTATTCGTTTGAGGTGAGCTTCATGTATGCACGGAGCGCATCAAGTTTATTGGGTTTTTAAATGGAAATTCAGTTGGATTCTTTCATTTTTAGCCATTTTCATGTGATGTAACAGGAGGTGAGGATAGGATCTGTAGATTATGAGACACCAGCCTGTATATATGGGCCCACAAAGGGTCACACTTTTTGATGTATTAAAACACAAATTGTGAATTAAAAAGTGCACATTCAGGTCCCCACACAGTGACTACTTTCTCAACTCCTTATACTCCAATAAAGGTAGACATGTGAGCTTAGTTTAGAACTGAAGCAAACCTTGAAGGGGGTGGTAACGTGACCTGATCGTTAACAAGACAATCCCTCCGCAGAGGACCGGAGTACCTTGACCTGGATATAAGCTGAGAAAAACAACTGCGGACGACACGGGGGTGATGTCTATTACTCAGAAATGGAAATCAAGGAAACATCTTGTTATGTTCTGTGTCTATAAAGCTTAATTATTACTCGAGTAGAATGTGACGCTGCAGTTTCCACAGAATCATCGATCAGTTAAAGAACACATTTCAGCTTTTGGGAAAAAGTAAACATAAGAGTGTGGCTGTAAAACGATAAAAAGCACAGGAAAACTAACCATTTGCCCTACAAACCTCAGGTTCACTGTCACTTTAAAGTGTACTCTACATGTTTACACAACATAACTAAAGTTCAACATTAACTGACACAGTAAAAGATGGAATATGGGTCATGCTTTTATTACCTGAGCTTGAGGCCCTTATCTTGAAGACGATCCTTGTCAGTCTAATTTTAAGACCTCCATTATTTCAGTTCATGTTGTGTTTACATGGTGCGTATTTGTAAATCAGTTTAAACATAGTCATGCATCACATAGCAAACCTGATCGATTGTAGTATTCCAGTGGAGGAAGCATAAAGAGGGAGAGGAAAGGCAGAATAACAGGGAAAACCAGAAGGTTTCATTTTATTTGTTTCAACTAATAGCTAACTTTATTGTAGTGTAGCAAGTGACTGCTTATTAATAAATACTAAACATGTCCACCATAAATAAGTAGCAACCTGTAGTCTCCAGTGCTATTATGCTGATGTTTCAGCTACGATATCCTCCAAAATTGTGTAAACAGCAGAATGAAATAGGTTTTTTGGTGCTTCAGGTATTTTGAATTTGACATCAAAACACAGCAATGAGAATCTAGGCCTTAGCCTATATTTCCTATCATTTTATTTATCTTTTAAATATATAGACAAATTACTGTAGGTGCACACACAGTGTACAGCAGAAGTAAGTACCTCCCTGTGAGATATCAGTTACTTCTAAGTTCTAAGGGGGGGGGGGCAGAGTCTATCCCAGCTGACTTAAGTCGAAGGCAGGAGACACCCTAGACAGGTAACCAGTCCATCACAGGGCTACACTTATAGACACACAACCAAGCACACTCACATTCACACCTACAGACAATTTAGAATTACCAATTAACCTCAACATGTTTTTGGACCTTGTGGCAGGAAGCCGGAGAACCCGGAGAGAACCCACGCTGCACGGGGAGAACATGCAAACTCCACACAGAAAGATCACCAGGACACGAACCGGCAACCTTCTAGCTGCGAGGCAACAATTCTTACCTCCGACCCACCTTGCAACCCTGTTTTGAAAACAAAGGCCTCAAAATAGACACTCAATGCAACACAATTAACTATAACTGTAATCACTTATACATAAAGTAGAACACCTGTGATCAGTGAAACTAAACTGAGCACATGTGTGATTCCAATTAATCTAGTTGCATGAACACGGTTATAAAACGACCTGTGAGCACCAGAACCTTCTCAATTTTGGACCTTTGAGCTGTGTCTCTCTGCTTCTCCTTATCTTGGTCCCAGGTAGAAAAGAACTGTCAGAGGAACTGAAAAACCTGATTGTAAGACTTTACCAACATAGAAAAGGATACAAGAAGTTCAGTTAGTTACTATAAAATCAGTGAAAAAACACAGTTGCAACAGTAATCAGCAGGTATAGAAGGAGCCACAGTACAACTAATCAGAGCAGCAGTAGTCGTCCTCCTAAAATGACGCCACAGAAAGTTTGTACTTGCACAATCTTGCTCTGAAAAAACAGGTTAAAAGTGCTTCAGGCTTGGCACAGTGACTATGAATGGAAATTACAATACCTGTGACAGCACAGACAGTGAAAAGGAAATTGCATAACATCAACCACGATAAATGGCATCCAAGAAATAAATCTTGCTTGTTCTTCTGCAGAGTCGCAAGATGATACTTTGCTTAAGAACATGAAATATGGCTGCTGAATATTGGAAGCCCATTCTTTGGTCAGATGAAGCCAAGGTGAATTTGTTTGGCGTGAACCAGCTCAGAACTACTACAGTGAATAAATAGTCCCCTAAGTGTGGCACTGAGTTTGAAGTGTGATCATATGGGGCTGCATAAGTGCAAAAAATGTTGGGGGAGATGATATTTCAAGACGTAGCCATGAATGCCAGTTGATATATTAAAATACTGGCTGAGAAGATGACTCCCAGACTAACCCTAACTTGCCAGAAGAGGAATATTCCAGCATGCTAACGAAATTCAAAGCGCACTGCCAAATTACACAAGAGTTTGAAAACTATGACGTGGCCAAACATGGTACCCGACTTGAATCCAACAGAACACCTTTGGGGTTTTGTAAAGAAGAAGGCTGAGCAACACAACCTCTCCAGTGAAGAGAAACTGAAAGAAATCGTCTCAATGATGGTATAATGTCTCTTCAGGAATTTGGTATCCTCCATGCTGGGGAGGATAGAGTCTGTATAAAAACAGAAAATCTCAGTTGTGTTTGAATCGCAAGAGCTAAAGGGATACTGAGTTTAGTTTACACTGAGTTCCTACTGTGGGGTACTTTTAACATAGTAAATCTTAAATTTAAGACAAAATATACAGTACATTTCATTCTAATGTTAGCATAGTTTTGGTGGTAAGTGTATGTCAAAGTAGCAATACTTATTTAAGTCAAGACTATGTTATTTACATAGCACATTTGAAGCAACAGCTGTTCTACCAAAGTGCTTTACAACAGAAAAAAACAAGTACAAATATTGAGGGTAAAATCCTTAAGTACAGAATTTTTAAAGTACATTAAATACTAAAATACAAGAAAAAATGGTATTTTGAATTTTTGTTTCTTTCTTCCTGCTGTCGCCAAGTGCTTCCTCAAAGGAAATCCAAAGAAAACTTTAGATTTGTTGAGTTTTTCTGTTTAGAAATTGTAAGATTACTTTTTTTTTGTTACTTTATTATTTTAATTTTGTGTATATTCTTATATCATTATTCATTTTGTATTGCTACTGTGATGAAACAAATTCCCTTATGGATCAATAAAGTTGATCTAAGTCTAAGTCAATTGGTGCTATATAAATAAAATGTAACTGAATAAAAATATGTAAGACGCAACTCTACCTGGTTATATTAAATATTAAGGCTGAGACCCATCAGTATAATTAATAATAAAGACTAACCATGTTAAATTAAAAATATTAAAAGTAAGGCCCTACAGTATTATTCATCATGAAGATTTAACGAACCAATTCGGAGCTATGGTGACAATCCTATAAAAAATATACACGAAACCCCATCGGATTCCTGGATTCCCTGAATTTCACATATATACAGTCGTCCTCAAATGTATTCATAGCCTCCCTTTAAAGAAGGAAAGAAACAGCTGTCCCTGAAATAAGTTGAAATTGATAAAAGTAATCATAAAAATTTGCTGAAAACCATGACATTGCTTTTGAATCGTGGTTCAACAGACATATTTTCTTTATAAAATACAAAAAGACCCCCAAGCATGATGGGACCTGTAAACTAACATTTTGTTGAACAACACTATGAGCCAATCACTGCAATCAAGTGTTTTCTGTAACTCTCAACCAGACTTCTGCACCTGTTGACAGCTATTCTGATTTTAGCCCACTGCTCTTTATTTTATTTTATTTTATTTTTAATTATCCCTTGCAATCATAATTCAAAAGCAATGTCTTATTTCACAAAATTATAATTTTGCAAATTTTTATTTATTAGTACTTTTTTTTTTTTTTAAGTTTCTAGTTATTCGAGTGACTATTGTGAATTTTGCCTTTTCTTTAATGGAAGGGTATGAATACATTTGAGGACTGTGCATATAATAATATAGAAAAAGTTAGAAAGAAAATAAAGAGTTTTATCAGCAAAAAAAAGTACTTTAAAATATGGAAAGTGCTGCAGCGGGGTCGCCCCACTCGTCCTCATATGTTACATTGTTTAATTACTGCTGATGCATTATTGATTTGCAGCTTGTTGAAGTGGATCTAACAGGAACAACTTTATGTACGACACTCAGTCTATCAAGGCATCGCGTTACACCATCTGAGCCTGGAATTGACGTAAAATCTCAATTTAACAGCAGGAAAAAAAATATACAGCTATCGAATAAATCTTACAT